ATATATATATATATATATATATATATGCTTTAATTTAATAGCAAAATGTCTCTAAATATTCTCTAGCCACTTTAATGGTGACTGTTGCAGCTGTCTGGGTTCTCAGTGCACCTCTGTTTGTGTTGAGAACAGTAAGAACAAATGATCCATTGTAACACTCTCAATAAAACGCCTAGTCTTCCCTTAGCACCTGGAGCCACCACTCATATATCTTAGTGCATCCCAGTTAGTATCAAACATGGCTCACACGAGTCCTGAGCCAGCATTTACTATGTGAAGATGTTTGTCATAAAACATGAATCCTTTCCCTACTGAATCCTTTCTCTGTTTGTTATTAGCTGTGCAAAATTAATGTGGAAAGAAAATATCTGGAAATTACAATGAATGGTATCCTGCTGGAGTGGGTTGTGCAGGATACTGAGCGGGCCAGATGTTGATTCAGCTCCACAGGCACCTGAAGGCCTGTGATTTCTGGTGATGTTCAGCTGTCTCTCTGTCACACAGCCTGGCATCCTGTAGAGAGCTATATTTCCCTACATTTGTTTTCCCAGCATGATATCACACATGGATTATGTTCAAATGTGTAACAACTCAAAATGTTTTCTTCTTAGTCTTCCAATAATTATCCGATAATCTGGCCTCTATGAAATCTGATATGTCAAACACTTTAAAACACACTAATCCACAAATCAGATATTATTTATATTACATATGTATGTAGTTTCATTTAGAAGTCATTTTTGCCTTTTCATTGTATTATAAGGTAGCAGTGTCCATTACTCTAAACAGGAATAGACATGCAGCTTCATTTGATACCTACCTTTTCTTAGTGTGGTCATTTACAGCTTGATTCTTTCTGTCCTGGGTGAAAACCACTTCTGACCTCTCTTTATCCTTTCTATAGTTAGCAGCTGAATCCTATTACAATTATCTTGAAGTGTCCTCTCAAAGGCTGTAGGGGTTGGACTTGGAGCTCACTTGACTAACGCATGACAAAGGTTGTATATAAAATAATTGTAGATTGTCTTTGAACACTATTATAATAGTTGAACCATAAAAAAGTAATTTTATGTTGAGCTACGTTTTAAGAAACATTAACTGTGGAAACAACTAGGAAGAGGGAAAACAATTAAATACCATCTGTCATTTCATTCAGCCAGTCTCTCATCAGTTTGTGCTTTCTGCAATACATCCAGCGACAAAATGTAATTTACTTTCCTAGGAAAACTCTCAGTTTAAAGCAGTTTGTTTAATTTAAAAATCACAGTCAAATCACTGTTACATCATTAAAGACTTCTATTTTGAGAGCAGAGACAGGACACATTACAGTACGGTGTGTAGAGTACAGTGTGCACATGTTAAATGTAATGTGCATTGATAAATAATCTTATTTTATTACTACATTTTGTTGGACCATTTTAGCAAGAACCCCTCTCCCTTCCCTGTATTGATGTAGATGATGTCGATGAAGATGTTCAAATTTTATTTGGATAAAATTATCACTGAAAAAAAAGTATTTTTACAATAGGAAATATTGGCAACTACCCCAGTTATTTGTCTTTAAATAACCACACTTTTTGTTGAGTTTATTGTTGAGTAGGCAAAACAAAATTTTTTTGGCCCTCAAGTCTTTTTGACAATTTTGGCCCATGTGACAAAACATTTAGACAGCCCTGCCGTAAATGTTTAATGCATGAACCAGTTCTTTAATGAAACCTGAGTTTAATATCTGCACCTTGCTATTTTTATCCTGTAAGCAAAACATTCTATACTCTTGTGCTTCAATTGATGTGTATCCAATACATTTTCATTTTAAGTATGTTCATGTTATTACGGAAATACTTAGTTGAACAAATGCCCGAGCTTCTCGTTTGGAACAGCTGAGTCTCATAAAACACGACTGATCATGACAATGAGTCTGAATCTGCTTGTCTTGGCTCAAATATTTCTGAATAAATAGAATCTTGACTGCAATAAACCATGGAAATGTCATCAAAATAATTGTAGTTACTTTATAATAAGAGCAAAACACTAAATCTGTTTGACATTATTCATAGTATCTGATTTATGATCATTATTTGTGTGTTAATTCAACTACCTTTGAGATCTAATTCATACCTGACAGGTATGTGACATGGTGTCACATCTCTTAGTGACACCATGAATGCAGACACAAATTAATATTCTGGTGAGAAATGATCATTCTTGACTTTAATTTTAAAGAGTGATCATCACCAATTAGTACCTATTATTTCGGTACAATGCGTTGGGTACAATTTGGATCACAATCAGTCAAACTTATGCATCCCACCAATATTAATTCTGTTGGGAGGATATCTGAATTTGAATTACTCTGTGTCTGAAATACAGCTTATAATTTCATTTGGCATATGTCTGCTATATTTTAATGTCAGTCTGCACAAATTGAGTAGGAGGGAAAAGGCCAGACTAACATGTCCTGTGTCTTCTCCCGAGTCTCCTCCCAGTGGGACGTGCCTGGATCACCTCACGAGGGAGGCGTCCAGGAGGCATCCTAACCAAATGCCTGAGCCTCCTCAACTGGCTCCTCTTGACATGGAGCAGCAGTGGCTCTACACTAAGTCCTTCCTGGGTGACCAAGCTTCTCACCTTATTACTAAGAGAGAGCCCGGACACCCTGTGGAGAAAACTCATTTTGACTGCTTGTATCTGTGATTTTGTTCTGTCACTATCCAGACCATAGAGGGGGACAGGAATGTGCCCGCATTATTGCTCTTATTACATGGCATAAGAGGAGACAGCTGCCAGCACTGCAATGCCAGAGTGTTAACTATCGTGGTTTCTCACGTTTGAACGTTCAGACTCCATCTCAGATCACTCACCCTACCGGAGTCAGACCCACAGATCTCCAGCAGTTCCCTGGACAAATCTAATCAATCTGGCAGCCTTTAATTTTCAATCACCTTGTTCGTGCAGAACTGAGTTCAAAACTGCTCTGTCTTCTTCTGCGCTCCCAACCATCAAATCAAACAAATCATCTGTCAAGATGTCATCCAGCCCTCAGAGATACAAGGATCACATTAGGATTAATCTTCAACCACACGCTCAATCCCACTCACCTCTTCCTGGCGGATACTATGCTCCTCATCAGCAATATCTGGTTCATCTCCGTTTCTCCAACCTACCTCTGACTGTCTGCCCTCACAGTGCGCTGTCTGTCCTGGTTCCCTGGTTACTTATCCACCCAAGAACTTCATCATTGAACATTTCATACATTTTATATTTTGTAATAAACTTTTTAAAACTGATTTGTTGGTGTGGGTCAAAAATATTTCCAAAACCCTGACATTATACTACTTGAAATTAATTTGATGTTTTATAAGATACTTATACTGGAATGCTAGGAAAACTGACACTAAAAAACAGAACTCAAATACTTGAAAAGTTTTATTACATAAAAGTATTTCATTAGAATTCAACTAAGGAAACAAAGACAATAGACATCCATCGCTGTTAGTTCACGAAAAGGAATGCCACATCTATTATTACGATACCAGGTTCGCTCAAACATGAAAAAAAATCTACAACTTGTTTTAAATGTAACTATAAAATGATGTATCTTAAAAAGCCATCTAACATTCTTCATTGCTGTGTTTCTCTTACAGGTCCTGGCCATGGTCTCCATCCTGTTTATTATCATCTCCACCATCTCATTATCTCTCAACACTCTGCCAGAGCTTCAGGTTGTTGATGAGTTTGGCCAGTTCAATGATAACCCCAATCTAGCCCATGTCGAAGCAGTGTGCATTGCCTGGTTCACTATGGAGTACCTGCTTCGGCTGCTGTCAGCACCTAATAAATGGAACTTCATCAAAGCACCACTGAATATCATAGATTTGCTGGCTATATTGCCTTATTATGTGACCCTCTGCCTAACTGAATCTAACAAGAGTGTGTTGCAGTTCCAGAATGTGCGCCGTGTTGTCCAGATTTTCCGTATTATGAGGATCTTAAGGATCCTTAAACTGGCTAGGCATTCAACAGGACTCCAGTCCTTGGGTTTCACATTGCGAAGAAGCTATAATGAGCTGGGTTTGCTGATTCTTTTCTTGGCTATGGGCATTATGATCTTCTCTAGCTTAGTGTTCTTTGCTGAGAAGGATGAGGATGCAACTAAATTCACAAGCATCCCTGCTTCCTTTTGGTGGGCCACTATTACAATGACAACTGTTGGATATGGAGACATCTATCCACAAACCCTGCTTGGCAAAATTGTAGGAGGGCTTTGCTGTATAGCAGGTGTGCTAGTCATTGCTCTTCCCATCCCCATAATTGTCAACAACTTCTCCGAGTTCTACCGAGAACAGAAGAGGCAAGAAAAGGCTATTAAGAGAAGAGAAGCTCTTGAAAGAGCCAAAAGAAGTGGAAGCATTGTTTCGATTAATTTGAAAGATGCATTTGCCCGTAGTATGGAACTCACAGATGTGCTGGTAGAAAAAAAAGAGGAAAGCAAATGTCCAGTAGACAACCACCTGTCCCCGAGTCGTTGGAGCTACCACAAACATTACTCCAATACTGATGTCAGTAGCCCACCAAAGTCCCAGCCGTACCAAGAGGTTACACAGTGGGCTTCCCCTGGAGCAGGAAAACCACAGTTGAATAAAACTTCTCCTCGACACCTTATTGCAAAGCAACTTGACAGTCCTTACAACAAGACAGGAACCACCCAGGACCAGCAAGACAAACGTATAGAGGAGCCGATAAACATGGATATTTTGACCTCTAGTCAAACCCAACCAGCTTCACCTAAAGTCGGCAATAGGGAGAAACTTGTTGCTGTGGTTGATTCTTCAGCTGAAAAAGAAGAAAAAAGTTCTCTGTTACCAAGTGTAGAGGGAGGTCATTGTAGTCTAAGGCACTCTATCCCCCCTCCCTTAGATTTAAGTCAAATCAGCACAATGGAAGCATGTCAACGCCTAGACAGTGACCAACCAATGACAATAATCAAAGAGGGTTTGTATGAATTTGTGTCCACTCCCCAAAGACCAACAACTGAAGAAAAACCATTAGTACCACAGAGAGTGAAAGATTATAGCAGTCCTCAAACAATTACAACTCTAAATGTGGACTTCATTGGATCGGAAGGTGATGTTCTTACAGCAATTATGACACCATTAGCAACCAAAGACTCCACTAGCTCACCCAAGGTTGATCGTTCTGAAGATGTGTTTTCTGTGTTCTCTACTTCTCCCAGTTCTGCTACACCTGACATAACATCTGTGCTAACAATACCACAGTCTCCATCCCTGTCACAGGAGTCTGCCCGCCTTGTTGGGGAGAGTTCCATAATCAGGAGCTTAGAAGGTGAAGGGCAGCACACAAGCTTAAGCCAACAGGGGAGGAATCACATGGAAAGGGCTGCTAGTGGCTCTAGCTCAGCTAAAGCAAGCCCTCTCAACTGCACACATGAGCTAGTGACTATGAGAGAGACAGATGGAGGAGGAGACACAGAGGGGAAAGGACAGGGTGGGGAAAAACAAGAAAATCACATTGCTTTGGATGGAAGTTTGACACCACCCTGTGAAACAAGTATGTGAGCTCAAGGATAAGGATAGATTGAAAACAGAGATAGAAAAAACAAATGAAAAAAAGAACAAAAGCTTGTGGAATGGATGGTCATGACTTTGTTAAGAGTGATGGATGGTTACCTGACTGAGACCTACTCCATGTTCAAAAGGACACTGAACGCACAAATTGTGGAAGCACAAAAATAGATGTTAATTTAAAGAAAGAAAAAAGAAACTTCTGTTCTGTCAATTTTAATGAGCACCAATTTTGTTTGTTCTAATTGTTTGAACACAAACCTGTACAATGACATGACTGAGAACAAAAAATGACAAACAGCTAATTTTGTAAGATACAGAAGAAAGCAAAACAACGCCTTGAGTAAATGAAAATATTTGTGAGTGTCATGATTTTTTTTGTTTGAATGCAATTTTGTCTGTTTGGAAAAAGAGAGTGTAATTTCCCTCTTGTTTTGTACTCTGCAGTTTTTGCTTAGAATGGGCAACAGGTAACAGTAAAAGCAGCATGACATTTTAGTTTTTGAATTTGTCAAAGCAACTTTAACACAGATTCAACAAATGCAGAAAAACATTCATCACCTAATATACTCCATGGTTGATCTTCCCATCTGTTGGTGAGTGAATTAAAGACGTAAGCATCTGAACAATACAGTACATGGGGGTGGGGTTGATGACCTTTGTTCTGTTTTATGAATATTTAAATTTTTGTAACGTTTTCTATCTTTCTTGTTTTGTATATTCCTGTACCGACAGAGAGCTGAATCTTTATGATAAAATAAGTAAAAGGAGCTGTAATCACTCCTGTATTCATCACTGTATGCACACTTTTCAAATTGGAATATCTAGCATCATATTTCTGACAGGCAGCATTTCTTTCCAGCAACCCTGGAAATGAAAAATGTAACAAATCTACAGTCATTTTCAATAAATCAGAATATGTGTTACGATGGGGCTTGTTTGTCAGATTAAAATAAACTTTCAAAAATAATAACTTTAAAGCAGATATTAAGCATACTTTTTATTAAGCCCAAATTCTGTATTGTTTTTTTTATTATCCTATCTTCTAATTTTAAATGTCATGTTTTCTTTACATGTAAGCAGAAAATCATCATGATTAACATAAATAAAGGCTTGAAAACAGTGTGTAATGTGTTTCACTTGGTGAACTGAGTTACTAAAGTAAATACAATTCTTATTTATTGAATATGACAATATTGAGAAAGATTTATACTGTTATTGTTGTACGGACTGTGTAATCAACCTTGGCTCTTGTCTTTTAGTTATTTCACTCGTGTCTGTAATAAAATCCCAGACTGCACATCCAACTTCAGATTTGGACATGCATCTCAAGAAACAGTCCAACCAGTGGAACTAAAGCTTTACTGTTGCAGTTTTTTTCCTACTGCTGCCACACAAGGAGGTAGGATGAAATAAAAGCCTATATGTAAATGGAGTTATGCTTAACTATTTACTTACAGGTTTCTGTGTGTCTTTTTGAATACTGCATTCCACTTTCTGCTGTTCTTATCTGTGGTTTCATTACAGACATCCTCTACTTCCTTTAAAACAACTTATCTGATTTATTGTTTGACAAAACTTTTCTCTGAGTTGCTGTCATACCCAACCAGTTCTTACTTTGAACTTTTTCACCTGTAACTAAAGCTTATGAAGTGTAAAACTTGAGGGTGCCCAGATACTGTGATTCTCCTTTGTAGAATAATCCACAGACACAATTGAGCTCTTTCTCAGTGTAGAACATTTCATTTTTTTTATGCTTCACCGAACCCCCCAAAACTTCTTCTCAATCCTTTTTCCCCATCTGGGGGAACCCTTCACAGTAAAACATCACCCTTCAAAATAAAACATTTCCCAAACATTTTACATTTTCATTATTCCAATTTTCACTCTTACACTACTTCCCCCTTACAACAAAAAAAGTGTCCCCACTTCAAACATAGCAAATGAAATGGGCTGATTTAGTCCAACAAGAAAACAGCCATTTTCATAAACCAGAATCATACTATTATATGGTACAGCAATGAACTATTATCACGGGGGACCTTTCACAGTAAAACATCACCCTTCAAAAGAAAACATTTCCAAAACATTTTACATTTTCATTACTCCAATTTTCACTCTTACAGAAGCATGTAATGATTATGAAATGGTCTCTCACTCTCTGAGGCTGCAATACTTCACAGGGCTGAGTAACCTTATGCAAATGAAACATGCAAATGCTTTCATACACAAACTAATGTCAGCATGCCCATTTTTATAAGCATTTCATAGAGACTGAAAATCCCTTTTTACCATGCTCCCTAACTGGGATGAGGCAAAGCCTGGCTTCACTCCCCACCTTCAAATGGAATTGTTTTGAATCTTTATTGCATGTTTTAGCTGCAGTTTTAAACTCAAACTTGTCATGTACAATAAACAATTGTTTCCTGGTATTTCAATATAAAGTGGTTTGATGGAATTGTTTTCAAATCTCCTGGCCTTGCAATGGGCTGCATGGTGATGCTGTTGTTGAAACTTTTTTCTTGCAGCAAGAAGATTGTGGTTTTAAATCCCAGCCTGCGTCTTTCTGCATGTTCCTTCTGTGCTTGCACAGGTTTCCCTCGGGTACTCCTGCTTTCACACACGGTCCAAAGCCTTTTGTTTCTTTTTGTCTTTATGAGTGAGTTTGTATGTGCCTGGTTTTTTGTTCTGTAATAGACTGGTGACCTTTACAGGGAATTGGGTTTATTTGACTCTTAGGATCTGATAGCAACTGCGCTATGCTTCAAAAATGTTGCATATGATCATGATTATTAGAAAACCTGGATTCAAAAGAAGATCAAATAGAAATAAATAACCACGAGTTTCAGAGAAAATTCTGAGAAAAATATTCTGAATCATTTGAAGAATAACACGACTTAAACTTTTCTATGAGGTTTGTTAAAACAGTGCCCTCTACAGGCTTTCTTCGGTACACAAAGTGGTGTGAGCCACAGAAGCAGAAACAATAATTATTCTAATTAATTCTGGGTTTTCACTTCTAGTAATACAGTTTAAATTTAATGGACTAGTCAGAAGGTAAAATGTAAATTAGTAAAGTCCAGTGACTTCCAACTCACTTCATATATGTATGTTACATTTTTTGTTCAAAATAATTAGTTCAATTTTTATAAAATAAACATTGTACTCTGTGAAGTATATTTAGAACATCGGTGCCTTCACATAAATGAATTTATGAGAAGGTGAAAAATATAATTTAGAATTTATTAGGATTGCATTTTATTAATTCTAACTTCATACTTGTACTCACAGAATTTCTCAAATAACATTGTTAATTCTTTTACTGCTCTGTTGTCCAACATAATTCAGTAAACTAAAAAGTGCCCACAATAGCCGAGGTCCAAGTACTGTCATTCACAATATCATTTTGTAGTTTGCCTCTTTTTTAGAGAACATATACACTTGAGCTCTGTTTGTTAAAAAGCATAGCTTGGTTTATTTGTGTCTCTTAGTGATAAAAAATTTAATGTAACATGGTATTAACCCATTTAATCCCACCGGCAACAAATGTTGCAATACATTTTTTCTTATTTATGGAAGCTCTAGAAGAACTGTTTTTAGCAGCTAATTGAAGTTTTAAAATCAAATAATAGTGTGTCTACTCTATATCAATTTCATGTATATAGTGTGAAAGGTCACATGACCAGACCTCTATACTTCCTGCCTGTGGTAAATGTCTGTCATAAACCTGTCCAAGAGGAAGTCTGTAAAATACTTTAATAAACAAATATGAATAAAATATTTTGAACATATGTTCTTTCAAGTGTTTTCTACTGATATGTAAAGAAAATTGTATCACTTCATTCATATTTTGATCATAAGAAGAGTGAATGTAAATGTGGCAACAATTGTTGCCGCTAGCATAATACATATAGACAGCACAATGCTGTCTGTCAATGGTTTGCTGTTTATTCTATATGCCTTGCTATTACCATACAGCTTAAAACTATCAGATATTTTAGATCTTCTAGACCTGAAGGAACCTCAAAATGATGTATTCTTCGTCCGACAGTTGAACCCCCCCCCTCTTTCAGCCTCCCAACAGGCGATCCTTTACACAAAGTCTGGCCTATGCACTGAATGACGACTACAAGATGATGCCACACCTGAAATTAACTTAGGACAAGGCAAAGGTCTTGTTCTTGGTCTGGTGGAACAGGGGGAATGTCCTCTCAGATGCAGATTTGTTCATACTAACATTTTTACCTGATTTTGCCTCTTTGAAGAAATAACTAAATGAGGTCAAAGGTCACTTGGCACATTGAGACAATGACATCTGCTGGATGTGGCATTGAATCTTTATGTATCTAAAATATTTCTGAACACTCTTGTAACCATTCTTTGTTATAATAGGTTATGCATGTCATGATTTTTCTTATTTTTGTATGTGTATAAATGGGCCATATTTGTGTAATTCAGACTATGCTGTTTCCCACCGGCAACAATTGTTGCCGAGTATAAAACCTAAAATTTCACTAACATAACCAACATAAAAAGTTTCATAAATATCATGTGTTAGGAAGGTCCAAGAATTGAAACGCATGCATTTATTTTGCAGGAAAAAATTTGGGATTAAACAAAATCCCAACAAAAGATAAACTCCAGATTCATAAAATGTACCTAGATTAATTTTAGAGATTGTAAAAATTAGGTTGCTAAAACTAAAATGATTTGTCCTCCAGGGTTACATGGCCTATAAGCTATTGACTTGAGAATCAAACATATGGAAAAAAAATCCTCTGCTTCAGCACACATAAGATGGTGTGTGAATCTGGAAGAAAGCTTATTTTTGTCTTTCCTGAACATTAGCCACCATGGGAACAAATTCCGTTCCACAGTTTGTGTTAGTATGAGTTATTCTTCGCACAGTAGCACACCAGAGGGCAAATAAAAAACCAGGCACTGAAAACCTTGAACTATCCTCACTGCTTGAATTCCGTTGTTGTACTCTTATCATTCCACTGTTTTTCCATCTGCTTTTTATGTTCATAAAATGACTACAAGATGCCAGTGAGTTAGTTTATGTAAATAAGTAAATGTTGCTCATAATGACTTTTGATTCTGTTACAAAATGACAGAAAAATAAATGTGTTCATTCAAACATTGTCTTTCTAGGATGTCTTTTTTTGCTGCGCCTCAAAAATAGGGAAATTAAATCAGCAATGAGGCAATGAATCACAAATCAGCCATCCTAAGTTAAGCATCTAAAATAATATTTTTTAAATGACTTCCAAATAACATGAAATTTGTAGATCTCAAACACAAACCAATTTCCAAGAAAGTCTGTGGACAGACTAGACATATTTTTGTCTTCACCAGGGCCTTCATGTATAAAGCGTGCATATGCACAAAAACTGTGCAATGCCATATTTTACGAACAAATCGGCATGTATATAAATTAATTTTGCATCAAAGTTTGCTACACACACTTTTTCCCTGGTGTGAAAATGTGCGAAAGCTATGCAAACTTTTTCTGTGAACAATATCAAACTATAAAGCGTCAAAACTCACCTAAATACACTGAAATCTGACTAC